CTTGTTGACTGTAAAATGGTGCAACCATTGTGGAAATCTGTGTGACGCGTCCTCAAGAAAGTTGGAAAGATAAATACTGTATGAACTAGCAAATCCTTCCTTGATATTTATCCTCCAGAAATAAGAGCAGAGACATGTACACCCATTATTGCAGCATTATTTACAATAGCAAACAGATGGAGACAATCAGTGGAAGAATGGCTAAACCAACTTTGGTGCATACACACAATGGAACCCTACACAACAATGAAGAATGATGATGAATCTATGTATTACCTCATAACATGGATGAATCTGGAGGACATTTTTCTGAGTGACATTACTCACAAAATGACAAATATTATATGAGACCACTACTATAAAAGGTCAAGAAAAGTTTTTCATACTATAGGACACGTTCTTTGATAATTGCCAGGAGTGGGAGGAAGGGAGAGTAATTCATTAGGTAGAGGGTACACACACGTTAACTTGGGTGATGGGGGTGGCAATTTAAAAACTATGAAATGCAGGCTAGTTATGAAAGAAATAGTGTTAATGAAATCCATGAGGGCTTTATAAAATTAAGAGACATGTATGCCCCTAAATGGGAAAAGTCAGTATTGTGAAATTTTGAATTTCCCCAAGCTAATTTGATTAGAGCTGCGTTTGGTGAAAATGGATAAGCACTTGGCTACTAATCAAAAGGTTGGTGGTCCCAATCCATTCAGAAACCATGTTAGAAGAAAGCCCTGGCTCTGTACTTTGGAATGATCACAGCCATTGAAAACCCCATGGAGTGCAGTGGGGTCAACAACAGGTCAATATATATGTTATTATCGTTGCAAAGTGCCCTTGAGTTGATTCCAACTCATAGCAACCCTGTATAGGGTTTCCAAGGAGTGACTGGTGGCTTAGAACCCTCACCTTGCTGTTAAAACTAACCCTGCGGTCCAGTGCATTGTCATGCAGCACCATAGCAGGACTCCGGTAAATATATGTCATTGTAATGAATTTGGGTGAATTATTGCAGCGTGAATTACTGCCTCTTAAAATGGACTTCTGGTGTGGATGTGAGGTACACAGTTCACACCCACCAGTTGCTCCTTGGAAACCCTATTCAGGGTCACTATGAGTTGGAACCAACTCAATGTGGCAAGACTTCATCTAGTGTCCTCTGGTCATGTCATCAGGAAGGACCAGTCTCCAGACAAGGACATCATGCCTGGTAAAGTAGAGGGTCAGCGAAAAAGAGGACATTCCGTGAGATGGATTATACAGTGGTCACAACAGTGGACTCAAACACAGCAATGATCCTGAGGACGCTACACAACCAGGCCATGGTTTGTTCTGTTGTTCATAGAGCCACTGAGCTGAAACCAACTTGACAACACCTGACAACAGCAGCAGTGTTGTTGGTTGAGAAAGCCTGTCTAAGCATATTGTCGCAGAGGGGAAACTTAAAGAGAACAATTTAATAGTTCTAATACATGTGTGGAGTCGTGGTGTGTCTCTGTGGGTTAATGCGCCAGACTGCAAAGCTGTTTGAACTGCAAGGTTGGTGGTTCAAGCTCATCAGCTACTTCTCAGAAACCCTATACAGGGTCACTATGGGTCAGAACCGACTTCACGGCAGTTAACAACAACAACAATACATGTGTGGCATTTTGGGTTAATGCGCCAGACTGCAAAGCCGTTTGTACTGCAAGGTTGGCGGTTCCAGCTCACCAGTCACTCCTCAGAAACTCTATACAGGGACTCTATGGGTCGGAACCGACTTGATGGCACTTAAGAACAACAACAATATATGCAAAAGCCATAATAAAAGTACAGTGCCAAAAAAGATAGAAAGCAAACGGCATGGAAAATTGAGTGGAAAATGTTAACAGTATTTTATGAGGACAATGACCTCATTAATCTAAAGAACTCTCAAGTCTTATACATAAATACAAGGGAGCTTTAAAAAGGCTCCCTTTTGGAAATAAATATAGTAGAATTTTTCTACGAATGTTTTGAATCTCCTGCAGAGATGAAGTCTTTCATAGGAACACTGCTATTATTAAGTGCCGTTGAGTCGATTCCGACCCATAGCGACCCTGTATAGGGTTTCCAAGGAGCAGCTGGTGAACTTGAACCACCGACCTTGCAGTTCAAATGGCTTTGCAGTCTGACACATTAGCCCACAGCGCCACATTCGTACTTGGTTAATAAGAAATGGACCATGGAACATACATTAATAGACAATAAGTCTAGAAATAAGTTAGCCTTAGATCAAAAGAATGCTAATTAAAAACATGCTAATGAGAGTCCCATATGAACTTAGTAGTGGTTAATAGAATTAAATGGTTACTATGAAAAACCACCAAAGTATTTATAGATTACTCCTTGTAGTATGGTGATTTTTCCAATGGATATTTGGCAATTTTTATCAAAAACCTTAATGTCCTGATTCAAAATTATTTTTCAACTATTTTTATAATTTAACTGTAAGGCAGTATTTAATCAGGAATAATTTTTAGCTGCAGAATTTATCCCAGGAAATGATCAATGGCTGGGTATAAACTTGTAGAAACATGTGATCATTCAGTTATTTGTAGTAGTGAAAAATTGGAAACAGTGTCCAGTAACTGAGACAACAGTTCATCCCTATAATAAAATATCCTGTAACCATTAGAAAGCAGGGATATAAGTTGCAAAGCAGTCTGGTCATACTTTTTGTTAGCCAGTCAATCAAACAAAAATAAGACTTTTAGAAACAGGTATCTAGAGGCAATCTCTGTGTGGTGGAAATACTGGTGAATTTGGGTGTTTACTCTAAATTTCTGAGCATGCATGAGTTGCACAATCAGAAAGCAAATGAAGTTTTTCCTTTTAAGCTCCAACTCTGGATTATTAAAAGTTCATTTTTCTATTGAGAAATTTCTGATGATTTAAATGTTTTCTCAATCTCAGGGAGCTGTGGTGGTATAGTGGGTTATGCATTGGGCTACTAACTGCAAGGTCAGCAGTTCAAAACCACTAGCCACTCTGTGGGAGAGAGATGAGGCTAGCTGTTCCCATAAAGATTTCTAGCCTTGGAAACCCTTCACAGAATCACTGTGAGTCAGAATTGACTTGATGGCCGTGGGCTTTGGTTTTAGACGTTTGTGACATCTGACATCTCTTGAGTTGCTCAGGTACTGAGATGTTGATATATGTGTATCTGAGATGTTGTGTATCTGAATTGACATTTAGCCCTTCAGGAGCCCTTCCCTTCCTTTGTCTGCTGAGCCATTTTTAGCCCCCATCTCTTTTTCCAAATAGGAAATGTCCCCCTCACCACAGCCAGGCTGGTGATGGGGTCTCTTGAGCAGAGCTGGTGGGGGGGATGGCAGACAAGGTTGATTCCTGACAAAACCTCTTTCTCTTACCTCTTTGTTTGACTCAGCAGCCCTACATAGAGGTACATTTCAGGACTCCTTTGGTGAAAGGAAATTATGGCCGGGTAATGTGCTGGACTGCAAGGTCGGTGGTTCAAACCCACCAGCCACTCCTTGGAAATCCTATACAGGATCACTATGAGTCAGAACTGACTCAACAGCACTTAACAACAAAGCCCATTTTATCTTTCAGAAAATTGACCATCTCTGGACCTCAGTTTTCTCAATTGTTCCTTTACCAAATTATTACTAAGTTCCTACTCTGATAGATACTTTTGAGATGTGGGCAAGTATCCAATGCAAATTGGAAATTCAATGCTTATAAGTGAGTTAGATTAGAATTCCCTTTAGCATTGTGCCTGACTCCTAGACACCGCTCAGTGCAGGCGAATTCATGTTTCCCTTCCTGTTTTCTCTGAAACTGGACAGTTCATGACATTTCTAGAACAGATTTCCTCCAGCACCTCTGTGACTTGGTTCTGTTGTTACCTGTGACCTGTGTCTGAGATCTCTCTGACAGATTGCTCCTGTGTGTCCCAATGTTTTTACCAAGGAAAAAACCTTAATTGGCAGCCAGAGGGGCTCAGATTATAGAAATCATTCATGAAGCACCAACATCTAGTGGACTTTCCTGTTCTTGGGTTTACCTCAGCCTGAACACGTAGGCAACTCTCTTCTCACCTAGATGACTCTTCTGAGGATCCCCTGTCTAGGGCCCCCAGAGCAGGAGGAACCTTAGAGACCACGTTATCCCTCACCCACACCGTTGTATAGGTGAACACACAAGCTCGAAGAGATGTGCCATGCTCGAACTGTGCTGTTATTGTATAGGCTGTGGGTGGTTCTGTGCAACTGAAAACTGTTCTCTTCTGAGGAGAAGACACCAGGTTCAGATGCTGCTTGTGGTCATTGCTATAGTGGTGCTGTAGGATAAACACTTGATCACAAGATCAGTTTTGAACCTCAAGGTTGATGGTTCAAATGCACCAGCTGTTCCTTGTAAACCCTATACAGGGTTACTATTAGTCAGAACCAACTCGACGACACTTAATAACAACAACAAAGAGCTAATGGTGAGGACTAACACTGTTAGATTTGTAGATTTGTATGTGATGTTGGATGAGCCCATAGTTGGCCAAGGTTTGAGCCAGCAAATCCTACCTGTCTTAGCCCCTCTTCCTGCCAACCGGTACATTTCCATCTCTTGCCCGTATCCTTGGGATCAACTACTTGATAATGAAGAATAAAAGAGAGCCAAGCACTAGAAGGATCAAAGGGAAGAAATGGCAAGGGAGGAGCACAGCAACATCCTGTTCAACTTGGAGGTTACGTCAGAATAGCGGCACAAGCTGTGGAGATGTATGGGAATACCTTGCACGTCACTCCCCCGTGTGTGAAAATCCCGGGGAACTCCTGGTATAGGTGTTCTTTCACACTTACTCATTCTCTGGAGTCATAGTTGGGAAAGCTTTGTAATGAATCAACTAGGATAGAAGTAAGCGTACGCAATGGTTAAGGCTCTTTCTCCAGTGATGTCTGGACCCAGGATTAGCCACAGTCTGTTGCTGTAGATTGTGTCTTCATTGTTTATTTTACCTTCCACAGGACCAGCTCTCAGCTGACATGTACAGTTTTGTGGCCAAAGAAATTGACTATGCAAACTACTTTCAAAAGGTAAGGGTCCCAAAAGGCGCGACTGCTCAGAGTGTGATTGCTGGAGTCATGGTTCAAATAGGAAGGGGATGTGGGGACAGACCTCTGGCCCCTGGGTTGAGCACCTCTCAGAAAAGAGTGGGGCTTTGACGTTCTACATGTGTGTTTCTCTCAAAACATAAGACTAAAAGCAACCCCATCCTTGCCGATTATTGCAAGTCTGATCTATACCAAAGTTCTCAGCTGCAGGCTATTTTGCCCCTTCCCCCAAGGGGATTTTTAGCAATGTTTAGAAACTGGGGAGATGCTACTGGGGTCTAGTGGGTACAGGCCAAGTATGCTGCTGAATGGCTTGCAGTGCCCCTAATAACAGCCCCCACAACAAAGAATTATCCAGCCCCAAAGGGCAACTGTGCAGAGGCTGAGAAACGCTAGTCTCTGATAATCAGGAAATGGTGAAGAAGACATAGAAAGATAATCCCCCACAAAGCACATGTTTGTTTTTACCTAGCTTTTTGCCAAAGATGGTGACAAATAGGTAAGAGGCAGATGATATGCCCACTTGTCTGCACTCTGTATGTTAAAGCAGACTTAGAGCATCCCCGTCTGAAAACTACGCTACAAGTATTTACCTTTATTGTGGTAAATGCAAGGCAAGTCAAAAGAAACTTTCGAGAGAAAAATTATAAACTGGGGGGAAAAAAAAAGGTGATAAAGAATGGGAATAGAACTAAAACTCTTCTTTATGGTTAGGCAAATAACAGAATAACAAAAAGAAGATAAAAAAAACAAAACAAAAAACAAAAAACAAAGCATAAGCAAATCCATTGCTCTCCTAGCAACCTGACAGAACAGAGTGGAACAGCTCCGTGGTGTTCCCCAGCCTGTAGGTGTATAGAAGCACACTGCCTCATCTTTCTCCGTGGAGTGACTGGTGGGGTCGAACTATTGGACTTTCTGTTAGCACCTCGAGCTTAACTACTGTGCCACCAGGCCTCATAAAGAGTACATAAAGGATTCAAAAAGGAGAGAGTTCCTGAAAAGTGTTCAGTGCTTCCATGAGTATAGAAGAGTTGTTGTGGATCCAAATTTTCATTGTTTTTGTTATTAGGTGCTGTTGAGTCAGTTCTGACTCAGTTGTAACCCTGTGTGCAGAAGAACAAAACACTGCCTGGTCCCGATTTTCTTTGGTGATCCAGAAGTTCAGTGGAGTTGCTAATGTATTTACATCTAACTTGGAAAGCTTATTTTAAAATAATAGCTTTTTTTTTTGTTTTTTCCAAGTATAATCCATTGGTTTTTTGTTTTTGTTTTCTTGTGAAAGTTATGTTTAACTTTGCTGTTGTTGTCACAAGGTGCCAATGAGTCAGTACCGACTCATAGGGACCTTATGTACTACAGAATGAAACACTGCCCGGTCCTGGGCCAACCTCACAATTATTGCTATGTTTGAGCCCATTGATGCCGCCACTTGGCCAGTTCATCCTGCTGGGGGTCTTCCTATTTTTCTCTGACCTTCCACTTCACCAAACATGATGTCCTTCTCCACTGACTGGTCCCTCCTGAAAATGTGTCCAAAGTAAAAGAGATGAAGTCTGGCCATCCTGGCTTTTAAGGAGCACTCTTTAACTTCAGTAGCTCAAAAATTAATAAAATCCTACTGTAGCACTGTATGATAAGCACTAGACTGCTAACCACAAGGTTGGTAGTTCGAATCCACCAGCTGCTCCTTAGCAACCCTGTATGTGGTCAGTATGAGTAGGAATGAACTCAACAACACTACACTAGAACATACGACATTCTGCATTTTATTAGACCAATTTGTGTCCCATTTTTTTCAATATTCTAATTTTTTTAAATGTCCCCATTGATTTATTTATGTCCTAACTTGAAGATAATAGTATCTTCCTTCCACATCAAACATTCAGATAGTGACTTCTCCCCATCCCCAGTACATTCCCAGTATTTTTGTGTGTGGGAGAGGATTCTGAAAATAAATGAAATCGCCATCATTCACAGTTTAATGTCTGTTCTTATCAACATTTTAGCAGCTTTTCTAACTAATTGAATTGCCTGCACAGCACACCTTGGAGGAGTTTGTTCTTTGGTTTACATTACTCTAGCCAGAGCAATTTCACCTCAGGAACCCGCAAGCATTGTGATCAGTTATATATTATTCATCTAACTTTGTAGAAACCTAGCCATGTGCAAACAGGTGGCACTTAACTATATCTTGTAGGCAGATGGATTTCTAAATGTCCTATCAATACTTGGAGTCCTCGTATGGTACAGCAGGATAAGCACTTGACCCCTAACCACAAAGTTGGTGGTTCAAACCCACCAGTCCTTGTAATCCTTATACAGGGTTGTTATGAGTCAAAACTGACTTGACAACACTTAACAACCTCAACAACCTTGTTGCATCTCTCCATGTGACCTTTTGCTTGGTGGATAGGATATGGGATAAGGTGTCAGGGGACAACAGCAGGCTCACTATGCCAGGCTCCTGCTCTGGATGGTCCCCCAATTTCCTTACGGTTCACCTGTGCATAGCAAACTTCGGTTGCAGAGGCTTCAGAGGAAGAATGCCCATCCTGCTCTGGGGGTTGGAAGAGGGCTTGGGAAGTCTACGTCCTTCTGTCATGGGCATGGAGAGTCTGCAAGCCGCAGCAGTCTGGGATTTGTCCCCTTTGGCAATGACTAATACTGACCTTTGCGTCTTCAGCTGATAGAAGTGCAAGCGGAATACCACAGGAAGTCTCTGACTCTGCTGCAAGCTGTGCTGCCTCAGATAAAAGCACAACAGGGTAAGCTGGAGGTGGTGGGGAGGGAGCCTGTGCCCCCTGCCCAGGCAAGATGAACTCTCAGCACTTCATCTGCCCTTACACTTTGTCCTAAAGGGTCACATTGAGATGAGCCTCTAGAATATGATAAACTGGGGACTTGATCCAGTGATAAGGAAGCAAAGCACACTCACTGCTTGTCTCTAAGGGGTGTGATGGGGTGTGGGTGCGTGGCTGTGTGGGTGTGAATAAGCAGCATGACGCTCAGCAGCCTTGGATATAGTTGGGTGGTCATTGTCCCTGCTATCCATAGCTCACAATATAAAAAGGAAACTGACCTGTGCCTCCAAAACCTGCCCTGTTCTAACTGCCCTGTCTTGCTTCTCCCTGTCAGAGGCCTGGGTAGAAAAGCCTTCCTTCGGGAAGCCCCTGGAGGAGCACCTCATGATCAGTGGCCGGGAGATTGCCTTCCCCATTGAGGCATGTGTGACGATGCTGCTGGAGTGTGGGATGCAGGAGGAGGTAAGGTTCCACACAGCCACATCTGCCCGGAGCGGCCACGTCTTCCACCTGACAGGGCCACCGTGGTTCTCTCTTCTCCTGTATCACTGCTTACCCTGGCCCTCAAGCTTGTTAAGACAGGGTACCGTGCAAACCGGTCCTGTTTTCTCCCATGAGCCTTTACTCTTTCAGGGAGAGTAGAGGACTATGGGAGATGTTTTGGTGTGGTTTGACCATGAGGGACTGAGGGCCGCCTTCCAGCCTGACCTCATTCTTTCTTCATATTTAGCACATTTGGAAGTCCAGCGGTAGTACAAATAATTAACACATCCAGCTGGTAACAAAGATTGGCTGTTGGAGCCTACCCGGATGCACCTTGGAAGAAAGATCTGGTGATCTACTTCTGATAAATCAGACATTGAACACCTGGTGGAACACAGTTCTACTCTGATACACACGAACTCTCATGAGTTGTCCTTCCCCCCCTTGTTTATGTTGTTGTTGACCTAATAAGTTCCTTGCTTTTAAAATTCATCTCTTACCATTTTTTAATTCTAGACCTCCTGAAAATAGGATTGATTAGAGACGGTAGAAAGTACATTTGAAGAGCCACATGTGAGAAAGGTGTCTGAGGAATTGGCTCTTGCCGTCTTGTTGCTGTGTAAATCCTTCCCTGGCATCTTGCTTTTACTCACTCAGTCAATCAGTATGTATTTGGCGTCTGCTAGTCCTGGTGGAGCTCTGGTAGCGTAGTGGTTACAAATCGGGCTGCGATCCTTAAGGTAAGCGGTTCGAAACTACCTGCTGCTCCGCGGAAGAAAGATGAGGCTTTCTACTCCCATAAAGATTTACACCCTCGGAAACCCTGTACTATGGGTCGGAACCGACTCGACGGCACATAACAACAACAACAACAGTCCTGGTGTGCTGCTATCGGCTAAGCACTGACCTCTTCTACAGGCCAGTCCTGGTGTGGTGCTCGGGGTTAATGCCCTGGACTGCAAGGTCGGTTTGAACCTCAAGGCTGGTGGTTCAAGTTCACCAGCCACTCCTTGGAAACCCTATACAAGGTCTCTGTGAGTCAGAACCAAGTTGACAGCACTTAACAACAACAACAAATCACAAGGTCAGCATTTCAAACCCAGCAGCCACTCCTCAGGTATACTCGATAGGGTCGCTGTAAGTCAGAACCGACTTGACAACGCACGACAACAATGATTTCATGACAGAGGTGGAAAGAGTGTGAGATAGTGGGGCTCAGAAACTCATTGGGAGACATGAGTCTGGTATCTCTTAAACTTGTTTAGTGTAAAATCGTCTTTAAGTATTTTGCCCCATGTAACTGAAGCAAATGGCAAATGCTGCCAAAGAGGAGGAGGCCAGTGCACACTTAGATATCTGCGGGCTGCCTCCTGTACTAAAAAGATCCCTGAGCATCACACATGCTCCCTCCTCACCCAACTACTAACCTACTGGCTGCCAGGTTCAAACTCACCCAGCAGTGCAACCAAAGAACAGCCTGCAATCTGCTACTGTGAAGATGAAGGTGAAGAAAACGTGTGGAGACTTTCTACTCTCTAACACGTGGCATTGCCTTCAGTTGGAATCAATGGCATCTTTTGGTTTTCGGTTGTGGTTGCTTGGTTTGTTTTTTTTTTTTGCCAACCACATGGATTTGCAAAAGAAACTGAAATAAGCATGTTTTTTGGCTTTTTTTTATGTGCCAGGTGAGTTAGTTACCTCGTGCTGTCATAACAGAAATGCTACAATTGGGTGGGTTTGTTTGTTTGTTTGCTTTAAAGTTTTTACTGTGAATTGAGTGACAGTTTACATGGGAAAACATTGGTTTTACACTCATTATTTCAGTGCAATAATGAGTGCATCTCTGTGCATCTTCATTCAACAGTATTTTCTTCTATTCCCTCTCTCTCTCTCTCTTTTTTTTTAATGGTGGGGAGGATGTACACAAACACTCAGGAATATATAATAATTTAAACAACCAAAGGGCACATTCTGCAAGTCTGCCTCCTGGCTGCCAACACATGTTCCCTCTCTTTCCTTAAGTCTAGAGTCCTCAGCTGCTCTCTCTCTCCATGTCCTCATCTCTGCCTCCATCTCTGGTGTCGCTGCTTCTCTGGATGGGGGTCCCATATTCTGCTCATGCTCTTCTCTCTTGATGGTCTTAGGGTCCTCTGTTCCTGGACTGTAAGATTAACTACTCCTCCCTTTTTGTTTCAAAACTTCTACATTTACAGTTGTGACAGTTGCATTTAGTCATGATAACAATTACTCACTATTGAATCATAAGAATCTAACTCCCATCCCTTTTCACCAGACCCATCTAGACAAGATGAAAAACTATTATTTAGTGGGGATTCTACCTTTCCCTGCACACTCTGAAACTAAACTCCCTCTTGAAAACTTGTAAGTCAGTCACTTTATGCCTTTATAGCTCCCTCATTTTAGGTAGCCAATGTCTAAGTTGCCCATCCATATCTACCCTGTATATAAAGGTGATAGGATTGATACTTATTGTGAAGACTTCTTCCCTCTCATATGGTATTTTGAGCTACTACATCCATAAGTATAGGTCAAGCTCATTAAATTGTAGCAATTTACAGTTGTTTCCTTTATCAAAAATTGTTTTTTTGTCTTCCTCTGGTTGCGTTCTGATTATGAAGCCATCGAGGCTAGGTTAAGTGGGTACTATCTGCAAGTTTGGGCATTCTTGTGCATCTCACCTCACTTTATATCATCTGGACGAAGTGGGTGGTTTTAATTGAAAAGAATAGGAATTAATTTTCTCTCAGTCTGGAGGCTCAGAGTCTATATCAGGGTCTCATTCATGCTGTTTCCTCCTCTAATCTCGGTTGGTGACCCGTGAGGCTGCCCTGTCTTGCCCCCTGCTTGTGTGCCTGTGCTCATTCTTCTGTTTTTATAAGACCTCCTCTTAGAAGTGATTAGGTTCAGGATCCACCGTACCCTTATGTTGTTGTTGTTATGTGCCGTCGAGTTGGTTCCAACTCCTAGTGACCCTGCACAGGGTTTCCAAGTCTGTAAATCTTTACGGGAGCAAAAAGCCTCATCTTTCTCCTGTGGAGCAGCTGGTAGTTTTGAACTGCTGACCTTGTGGTTTACAGCCCAATTCATAACCACTCTGCTGCCAGAGCTCGTTACTGTACCCTGAAACAGTCTCCTTAATGTTACAGAGGAAAGCCCCCATCTTCTGCAGGGCCGTATTTACAGCGACAGGCCTTCCACACAGCTCTCTAGTGGACACAATGCCATTTCTAACTTGGGGCATCATCACTCATGTTTTCCACTGAATTGTGAGGCAGACTCCTGAAAGAGTATCCATGGAGGCAGGTGAACTGGGCCTTTTCTTTCCACACTGGTTTTTTGTTTTTATGTAAAGATACAATAATGACCATATCACCCACTTTATGATTGATATTGTTTAGCGACATCCCCCACCCCCCCCACCCCCCCTTTCTGTCTTCCACACCAGTCCTGGATATTGTGAAGCAAATTCCAGACATTCTATTCATTCTTTTGTAAATGTTAGAGTATGTGTCTAAAAGATGTTGTTGTTGTTGTTCTTGTTAAGTGCCATCGAGTCGGGTCCGACCCATAGCGACCCTGTACAGGGTTTCCGAGGGTGTAAATCTTTACGGGAGTAGAAAGCCTCATCTTTCTCCCACGGAGCGGCTGGTAGTTTCGAACCGCTGACCTTAAGGTTCGCAGCCCGATTCGTAACCACTACGCATGTTTTTAAATAGGCAGTAAAACCTGTGAGCACAGGAAGGTGGTGGGATTGCCCTGTTTTTCTGGGTTTCATATTTCCCACCAGGGTGCCGTCTTAACCACTTTTCTGTCATTTGTTGTAGTTGAGAAGATGTGAGCTATCCTCTTCTGTCAGGTGTCCACTGTACACAGGTTCTAGCTTTCTAAGATTTTACTGCAACTAGAATAGCATAATTACTCCTAAAATACAATAATGTTAATATCATCAAGTATCTGTTTCATGTAAAGTGGCTCTTCCTGTTTGTTACTAAGTGCCTTCCGGTCAGTTCTGACTCTTAGTGACTCTGTATAGGGTTTCCAAGGAGTGTGTAGTGGGTTTGAACCGCCTGCCTTGCAATTCAAACCCACCTTGTGGTTGAGGAGTCATATGTTCTGTTTGGCCTGCTAACTCTTCCATCTCTCACACTCTCTCCTTGCTATAGTGTTGCTTCTGCCCTCCACACCTGCCGTTAGTATTTTGAAGCAAATCGCAGCTGTTACAGTGTTTGATTTATATATGCCATCAATAATCCTCAGGGATCTCTAGATGGACAAACCCTGCCTCTGATGTCATTCCCCTGGCCTTTCTTGCAACCACCTCTCCCCCTGCTTCATGGGTCCCTTCTATCCTCTGACTGCCATGGTTTGCTTCTCTAGGGTCCCTATAACCAAGTGCCATGAATTTGGTAGCTTAAAATAGCAGAAATTTATGGTCTCAGTTCTGGAGGTTAGAAGTCTGAATTCAGATTACTGACAAGACTCTGAAGGCTTTGGGGAAGATCTGTCTTTGTCTGGCCCAAGGTCTGAGAGCTCCAGGAAGTCGTTGGCTTGTAACATTGTTTCTGGACAAAAGTCCAACTGCTAGCCAATAACAGAGATGGGATGGGAATCAACATAACATTTAATTGACAGATCTGGAAGGCAGGGAGAATCCTTCTCTGTAAGATTGCCTTGGTTTCCCCCTCACGGTTAGGGGTTTTTATGCCCTTCTAGATATTAACCCATTTGTTTTTGTCACATTCCTTTCTCAGTACTCAATGTCCCCCCACCTCCAGGAGGACAACCTGCACTCCACAACCCAAGGTCCTTTGCGCTCTGGGAGTAACTCCCTCTTTCCCTTCAGACAAAGGGTGGTGTTAGAGAAGACACCTAGACACCAGATACTTTCTCTCCTCTAGTTTCCTCCTCCCAACTTGTCTCTTTCTTCTGCACCCTTAAGTCCTTCAGCTACAAGTCCCAGGAGCACATACACAAGGGAGAAGTTAGGGCAGTAGTAATTGGGAACAATGATTAAAAACGGTTAAAAAAACACGTTAACTAAAAACCTATTAAAATCCTATTAAAATCCTTGTCTCAGCAGCAGCTCTGCCATCTCTGTCCATTTTTCCCATGTCCCGTCTTCCCTCTGTGTGTGTTATTTCTGCGTCTTTTCCCCTCTTTTTAGAAGGATACCTATCATATTGAATTAGGACCTACTTTACTCTAGTGTGACCTTCTAGTAACTTCTAACACCTGTAAAGACCCTGGTTCCAAACAAAGTCATAGTCACAGATACCGGGGGATAGGATTACAACATATTTACACCTGTAAAGACCCTATTTCCAAACAAGGTCATGTCCACAGGTACGGGGGGATAGGATTTCAACGTACATTCAGTGGTAACAGGAACATCCATTCACCAACACCACCAAACGTACACACACACACACATACATACACATATTCTCTAAACCTTTCTGCATGCAACTTATTGGACTCTCAAGTCTTACCAGGCCTCAGTCAAATTTTTCTCTAAAATATATCTTAAATTTACTTGGAAAAGAACTCCAAGTACCCAAGGTTTACTTCGCCAATAGGTACTTAATGAAGCAGTACCATGTGGCACACTAGATGCTACACACTAGGGACACAGCGGTGGTTGAGACCTGTTCCTAGTCTCAAGCTGCTGGTATTTGGAGAAGGTAGCATGTAGGAGGCAGATAGCTGCGGCATTAAGTGGTGGTGTCAGGCAGACTCATGTGGAGGAGAGAAGTGAGTGGACATCTGTGTGCTTGGCTTTGGCACCATAGAGTTGCAGCTTGTGCACTGACCCTTCTGTCCTTTGGGTAGGGACTCTTCAGAGTTGCTCCCTCCGCCTCCAAGCTGAAGAAGCTGAAAGCTGCCCTGGACTGCTGCGTGGTGGACGTGCAGGAGTATTCGGCAGACCCTCACGCCATTGCAGGTGGGTTCCCAGCCTCTTGGCAACGGGCTCCCATGTAACATAGAGATGAAAGGGGTGAACCTGAGGGGCTATGGCTACGTACCAGCGACATTGAGCCAGGGACTCCTCGACATGCTTCTGTTGCGTCTACTAGGGCCTGCTTCCAGGCTTGGTAGTTAGGACGTCTTGAAGGGAAGCCTCCCAGGTGTGCCAAGGTGATGGTGGGAAATTAGAGTGGACGGGCCAAGGAGATGGGCATCCCCATTTCACTGCCTGGGTCTCGGATCTGTTAATGTGGGAAATCATTGATCTCTTCCTGTGGCCAAGAAACCCATCCCCAGTTGTAACTCCCGGGGGCCATGCTCTCTGGTGCCAACCTGTCTCTGCTGTGTTGTAACTGCTCATGGTCAATGTGGTCTTTCTGTCCAGGAGCTCTGAAATCATACCTCCGAGAATTGCCAGAACCTCTCATGACATTTGAACTGTATGATGAGTGGATACAGGCTTCCAAGTGAGTATACAAAGTTTGGGGGTATCTTCTAGGTAGGTGTTGGCTTATATCTATTGAAATGATAAGGTCATGTAGCCTGCGATCCATCAGTTCTATTTCCTGGTATTTTGTCATGGAGAAATGCTTGTACATGCATCAAAGAGGTATGTATGGCATATTTGTCATTGCTGCCAGTTGCCATGGAACTGCCCCCCAACTCTTGGCAATCCCACAATAATGGCACAAACTGAGCCATTGTGATCCACCATAGGGTTTTCATTGAGTGATTTTTGGAAGTAGATAGCCAGGCTTTTCTTCCTAATCTCTCTTAGTCAGAAAATGCTACTAAAATCTATTCCGTATCATTGCAACCCCCAACCCCCCACTAGCAGAACGGTGGTGGTTCTTTATGAGTTGCGTTGACTAAGAATCAAATCCGAATTTCCTGCATGGAATGTAAGAATTCTCCCACTGAACTACCAGTAGAAGAGGCAGATACAAGGTTATTTGGAATAACAGAAGCCACGAAGTCACTGAAGGTTCATAATTGTAGGGTGGTGGTGGTTGTTAGGGCCATCTAGTCGACTCTGACTTGTAGCAACATTGTACAGGGTTTCCAAGGCTGCTGGACAGTTTTTGGTTGGTTGTTTTGCTTTACTTTTTATTGTGAATTGAGTGAAGGTTCACAGAGCAGATCATCAGTTTTACATTCAGTAAATCATACACTTCCTTTCATTACAGCGCCTGCAATCTGTTAATAGTATTGACCTCCGTGCACTTTAACTCTTACATTCCTCCCTGTGTCTCCTGCTAGCTACCTTCCATCTTTCCTCTGCCAACCTTCTTGTGGTAGAGTGCCTGTCTTGTCACCCATGTTAACATGTGTCTAGCCCATGAATAATTTTCCCTTAAACCCCTCATGCCCCCGTAGCCATCATAGAATATTTCTTTTATCTAGAAAACCTTTTCTTAACTTTTTATAACAGTGGCGCTGTGGGTTAATGCGCCA